ACAATATTTAAGCAGTTTAAATGTTTTCACATTGTTTCATAATCAAAAATGTGTACATTGTTTTTTTTACTAAAACAAAACGGTAAATTACTTGTGTGGTTATATTATATCTGTTAGTATTCAATTTCTTTTTTGGTTGAATGTATTTGTGGTATTTGCTGATATAGTATCAGTGAAACAATTTGTTCAGTATAGTAGTTGAGTGAGTGTGAGAGGATTCCGTAGCAGTGAAATATGGAGTGGAAGCTGTGTGGGAAACGGAGACCGCTGTATTGTGTGGTGGTGGAGCTGACCTGTCACTCCTCTCACCCACACACTGAAGAGCCTGCAGCCAGGGGCCCGGGGCTCCTCTCTTCAGATCACACTCATGGTCCCACCAGACAAAAGCTGGCTTCACACTCACCTCCTCATGTTTACCTCGCCTTAAATGTTCAATATTAATTTGTTGAAATATATATATTTTTTTAAGTAATGTATGATAACTTGTGTGCTGATTTAATTAATTTTATTAGATAATGTTTATTTATTTATTTTCATTTACTATATTTGACAGGTGTGTGCTCTTAGCCTCAGTCAGTACAGCATCACAAAGTGAACAGCTTGTACCCCTGAGATTCAGAAATACAGATATATAATTATATCTGAGATAAAGATATTATATTGTAGTAACATAAATGTGTGTGTGTAGAAACTGGGAGTGTCAATATAAGTACATTTAATTAACAATTCCTTGTAATTCCAGAAGTTTGTATTTTATTTCATAAAAACTGTAGTTATTGAGGGAAAATGAACATGAAAGAACAATACAAAATTGCATCTTGAGTGTGTTTTTATAGCATTTTAATTAACTTGCTTTAAAATATTAACAATAATTTGAATATTGATTATTAATGTTAATAATTAATTCTTAATTAAATTGCTGCACTTACCTTAAATTCTGAGTAAGTGCTGTTTTTTCCATTGATTGTGTAGTTAATGTAAACAAATAGTTAAATTTAGTACACAATATGGAACCATTAATGAACATTTTAAACAATATTCACAATTGTTTTTGTATAGTGAACAATTGAATGTTGTGAAAATGAGAACCTTTGAATTTCAAAAGCTTTGCAAGGGGAAGCCTCTATAATAAACTTACCATATTGCTATATTTTAATTCTAAGAATGCATTTTTCACAGTCAGATGCTGTTTGAATAATGTAAAATGCATTTTAAAGAGACATTAAACTTTTTTTTTTTTTTTAATCTGTACGAATAGCTTTACCTGATACTACATTTTGGTAGTCAGCTGAGCCAATTTGATCTTTTACCTTTTCTTATTTTTCATACTTTCAGGCTCCTGGAAATTAGCTGCCCATGATTGTTTGATAGCCCATGGTGATGGCCAGATATTTCACTGTTCTCCTTCTGGGTAAGTTGCATGGTAAATTTAACAGATTTCTGCATATACTAGAGTATGGTGGTCATGTCTTTACCTTCCAGATGTCAGATAAAAAGCTTAAGGTGGGATCATAAAATGACTGATGACAACACAGATGATCCCATGTGATTATCAAAGTTTGACTCTCCAGTGAGGTGAGCGGGGATAAGCTTCTTAAACAAAGTGAAGTTCAAATGCACAGTCCCCCACCAGCCCCCCCAACTGGGAGGTCTTTCATAGTAGCTTCCACGAGAGCCCTTTTCAACACAAAACAATCTAGACTTAAGCAAACGTGACATGACCATCCTGTTACCCCTCTCTCTTCTTTAGCATCAGTGCCTGCCCTTTCTCTCTCTGAAGAGAAGTAATCAGAGGCATTGTGTTTGCTTGTCCCTGTGTCCTTTTGTGTTTTATAATGAAAGGTATATGCATTATGGAGAGGAAACTAAACACCTGTGGCGAACTCTGCTAAACAAGGCAAGGAAAAGTTCTGTCGATGTTTGCACAACACTGAGAGATCACAAATCTCTGGAGCGACCACCCTAAACATGCACTGCTTTTCCATTGTTTTTTCAATGTAAGCATGCGCTAGGCAGTCTTGCATGACTTGCTGCTCTAAAAATGTGCCACTCAAGTTAAAATAAGCACGTCTCTAGGCTTTTGCGTTTTTTTCAATGCATTGCACTGCTACATGATAGAGAGTTGTGTTTGAATGTTGTACTCACGATTTTTGCAGCGTCTTGTGCATTACACACCATTTAACTGCTCAAGTTAAAAGAAGTTCAACTTTTAAAAAACTTGTCTCTAGACCTTGTCTCGCATCTTTTGCATTGCCTCAAATGACACAACGTTCTAAAACACACAATGCCAAGTTTTAAAAAGTTGCGTAAGTTAATAATTTAATGTGTCCCTAGATGTTACTTTTTCATTGTACTCCCCTGCATCTCTTTTTAAATTGCTTTTTTATGTAAACACCTGCTAGGTGGATGTTTTTGCCTGTGCTCGCATCTTTTGCAGAGTCTTGCGTGGCACATTCTAAAAATATATTTGGTTTATTTCACTGCCCTGCTTCTCATTTTAAAGACAAAAACACATTCTGTATTGTTTTTCTATATAAATATGCACTAGAAAGACATGTTTGACTATTGTGCTTGCGTCTTGCATCTTTTGCAGCTGCTCACGAATGACACAGTGTTCTAAAAATGCGACCCGCAAGTTAAAAGTAGTTCAACTTTTAAAGGCATCTCTAGACCTTGGGTTTTAATTCCACTGCCCTTCATCTCACATTTTTAAACACAAAAACTTTTGTGTAAAAATGCTGAAAAAGCATTTATAAACCTTCTGCTATTCAGTGCTAAATGTACTGAAATGATTCTGTGCTATAATTAACTATGCGCTATAATTAATAATTAGTTATTGCCATTAATTTGGTGTAAACACATTTACTTTTAGGTTAATACGAATCATATATAATTAGACACATGTAATTAGACTGATTATACATTCAGTGCTGTTTGCCTGCTGCACATTGATTGCACCGGTGGAAAGCAGGTAATAAATGTTTTATTAGTTAAGTGAGTTGTTTGAATGCTTTTTCTTAATCATGATAGCTCTAATTTGATGGGCTAACAGTTTTAACACATGCACCTGACATGTAGACCCGGTGCTCCTGCAGAGGATGCACATTTAAAATCCAGTCAATTTCACTCTGTGCTATATGTATTGAATCAAATGAAAGAGCGAAAACTGAACAAGATGTAGAGAAGTGGAGATTAAGAGTGGAGAGCAGGATTTCATTAGCGGGGTGCTTGACTGAGAATGGAATGAGTGCAGTGCTGAGGACGGCCATTAGTTTTGACATGTGAGGGAGAGGGGGATCAACACGCTCAGTTTGGCCCATTATTCTCATTGTAGCACAGCGCAGTTATCAGTGCATTTATTATTTATATGCTCAGTCATTTAGCTACATAACTAAATGTATATTCCCTGTTGAAAGTACTTCACTTAAAAGATTAAATGACTTGGATTGGAATGAATGGAAAAACACTGCAACATTGGCTCTGTTCCAAACCCCAGTGAGTTGCCTACCCAGACGGCATGTTTAGACATCATACTGTAGGTCCGCTCCCAATGTAAGGCTGTTCTGAACAGTAAAATGATGCAGCTGTAGTTGGAGCAATAGTCATGTGGGTAGCACTCCAGTATATGTTGTGGCTGTGCCTTAGGTGACCCAAAATTAAGTTTTAAGCTGCGTCCAAAATTTCATTCTGTCTGAGTAGGTGCTGAACGAACAAACTTTGCGACTGTTACAATAGGGATTCTATGTCCCAGGTGAAGCACTCTTAAATGTATTAAAAATGTACTTGAAATTCATATAGTATATTTATAGAACAATTTTACTCCTAACATGTTTACTTGAAGTGCATTAAAAAATTATTAAATTACATTTTAATATATTGTTTTATGTATTTTAGTATACTAGAAGTATGTTGGTATAAATATATGCTTAGTTACGCTTTTAAGCCTTAGGTGACCCAAAATTAAGTTTTAAGCTGCGTCCAAAATTTCATTCTGTCTGAGTAGGTGCTGAACGAACAAACTTTGCGACTGTTACAATAGGGATTCTATGTCCCAGGTGAAGCACTCTTAAATGTATTAAAAATGTACTTGAAATTCATATAGTATATTTATAGAACAATTTTACTCCTAACATGTTTACTTGAAGTGCATTCAAAATTTATTAAATTGCATTTTAATATATTGTTTTATGTATTTTAGTATACTAGAAGTATGTTGGTTTAAATATATGCTTAGTTACGCTTTTAAGATATATGTTAACACAAGTATACTTTTTGTGAAATTTTAGTGTATTTACAGAAAACATACTTTTTCTTAAAGTATATTTTGTTTACTTTGTTTAAGAACATAATAAAATGATACAGCTTTAAAGTATATGTATCTTATTTATAACCATATGTAGACCTTCTGCAATATATTTTAAATATTTATGTAATGAACATGTGCTTCAGCCTACTTTTCAAAAGGAAGATATCTTGAAAAACATTTTTACCATATTAATGTATTCTATAAAGTATATTAATTCACTCACACAAATACATTATAGCTAGGTCTATAAAATGTGCAAATGCATTCTTACATTGTACCAACTCATAATGTATTATAAATATAATTTTGTCAACTATGCCTTAGTAATAAGCATACTTAAAATCAATAAGTTGTTTGGTTTTATTTGCTTGTACTTGTAAAAGAATACTAGGCGTTTTGTGGAAGCTCAGGCGTGTACAAGCACGTCTGAGCTTCCGTTTACCAGTTCTGATGTGCGTGTGTATGTGCGTCGATGGATGTGAATAAAAGTCTAAATTAAAACTGTTAAGTCATATAGAGCGATTGTGTCTCTTCAGAGGACTTGGAAGAAACCACTCGATTCATATGGATTACTTCTGCGATGTTTTTGTCTGCGATTAACTTTTTGAAAACGTGAACATTTTTGGTGACTTTCAGTGGAGGGACATACATCATTAAAATATCTCCGTTTTTGTTTTGAAGATGAAGGAAAGTCTTAAAGGATTTGGAACAACATGAGGGTGAGTACTTGATTACAGAATTTAGAATTTCCTTTTTTTTTTTTTTTTTTTAACTGTTCACTGGTTGAACTGTTAAAGTAAATAGAACATTCATTGTTACATCTTAATTTTTCCCAGTGTCTATGTGTGTAGATTTGGAACCTCAGTGTTTTGTGACTCTTGGTAAGTTCTGTTAGTTGTCTTTTTTTTAAGCGCAGTAGTTACATTCAATTTGACCAATCAGAGCCAAGCTTTTCAAATCGACTTTGCAGGTAATGGTCCAATCATGATGGTAACATGTTTTTAGCAGAAATCATCCCAGTTTCGCTTTATTTCATTTTCTTGACTAGAAAACCAGGTCAGCTCATGCGTCCCGTGAACAACCTATTAGGTGACAGATGAAGATATTGCCCGCAGAAACACTCCTCCTTGGTGGTAAGTTTTTACTAGCCATTTGTTTAAAGGGGTCATATGATGTTGCTAAAAAGAACATTATTTTGTGTATTTGGTGTAATGCAATGTGTTTATGCGGTTTAAGGTAAAAAAAAAACACATTATTTTCCACATAATGTACATTATTGTTGCTCCTCTATGCCCCGCCTTCTGAAACGTGTCGATTTTTGCAAAGCTTATCGGTCTGAAAAGCGAGGTGTGCTCTGATTGGCCAGCTATCCAGTGCGTTGTGATTGGCTTAATGCCTCAAGCATGTGACAGAAATGTTACACCGCTTACCATACTGTGATGCCGTCTCCCAGCACGACGATACAAAACCAATAAAACCCATTACAAATGAGGCATTTGTTGCATCCAGGAGACTTTAGTCTTTGCAACTTTACAGATCTTCTTTATGCACCAAGAGCTTGTAACACTCCAAAGAGAAAGGAAAAATTGAAATCGCATCATATGACCCCTTTAATTAACTTTAAGCTCACTTCTGAGTTTTTCCTAGGCGGATAGTGCTAGTGTGCATTTGCTAAAGTTAGTTAACACATGGAATGCTAACGTTAACCGCTGTAACACACTAACACTTACTAGCTAGTTATCTAGCTATATGCTATATGGTTGCTTAAAGTCTACATAGTGGCATTTGTCTGTCTTATAACAACTATAAAATAATTGTCCAATGTATTGACAGAAAGAATAATGTGCCATTACAGCATGTACACCATTAATATAAATAGGGATGCTTTTAAGAGAGAAGACATCTGAAACTGCTAATGCTGAGAAGCTTTTGATTACAATGTACCTGGTGGGTAATATACTCTCATTGTTAAAAAGAAAACAAATCACTAATCATCATTTGCCTGCCTTTTTTTATTTGTTGTTTTCAGAACAGCTGCTGTTGCAATAGAAGGCAAATTGAAATCAGATCAGAAAGACAAGCAAAGAAGAGAGTGGTAAGTATGTTTTAATCATATCAATGAATCTCACGTTTAATTCTGGCTGACATATTTCCTAATAAAGTGGCTGTTGGGACTCTGAGTGTCATGCTAACTTTGGATTCAGCACTTCTGGTGTAGAGATGTTAGGCCTCTTCTAACCGTATGTTCAGTGTAACACAGAATATTGGATGGTGACGACATAAAAACAGACGCTCATGTCAAACTTGATGAGGATTTAGTCCAAGCTTTGAAAGGTAAACTGAGAACGGTTAAAGAAATTCTAATGCATATCTATGCAAATTATAATACATATAGGCAAATTGAAATCAGATCAGAAAGACAAGCAAAGAAGAGAGTGGTAAGTATGTTTTAATCATATCAATGAATCTCACGTTTAATTCTGGCTGACATATTTCCTAATAAAGTGGCTGTTGGGACTCTGAGTGTCATGCTAACTTTGGATTCAGCACTTCTGGTGTAGAGATGTTAGGCCTCTTCTAACCGTATGTTCAGTGTAACACAGAATATTGGATGGTGACGACATAAAAACAGACGCTCATGTCAAGCTTGATGAGGATTTAGTCCAAGCTTTGAAAGGTAAACTGAGAACAGTTAAAGAAATTCTAATGCATATCTATGCAAATTATAATACGTATAATATTTTGAAACACCATTAAAAACCACTGAATAATTATTTTTCCTTTCACAGACCCTGTGATGAAGAAATTTAAAATACCACAGTGTCTGAATTGCAAGCCCTCAGATGCAGGAAATGCAACAAGTCGTAGTCAAAGTGATCCTCCACTTGAAGATGAAGATGGTGACAATTGAAATGTTCTGTTTCTTTGTTTGGTTTAGCCATTTGCAGGTTTAACTTGAGTTTGAGACACAAACAAAGAAAATGCACTTTATTCACTTCTGTGCTTTGTTGTTTTTCTGTAACTTCTTTGTGTGTGCAGAAAATTGCATTGTGATTCATTTTTATTGAGTGATGGAATATTCATAGTGTACTTTCCAGTAATACAGGTATGACAGAAATGTTCTACAAATTGAATGAAGTAGTTCTGTTATAGCATTTCGCTGATCTTTATTTTAATTTATTATCAATCAATCAATCAAACTTTATTTATAAAGCACTTTAAAAACACAGAAGTGGCCAAAGTGCTGTACAGAAAAATACAACTCATACAACACCTAAAATACAACTAAAACACATTAAGATAGCATAGAAAGCTAAAATAAATAACCAAATATCAACATCAGGTGTCAAAAGCCAAGGAGAAAAGATGTGTTTAAGAGACGATTTAAGTAAAGATAATGAAGAGGCCTGTGTAATGGGCAGAGGCAAATCATTCCACAATTTAGGAACTGCCACAGCAAAGGCACGGTCCCCTCTAAGCTTACGCTTTGTTTTGGGCACATTCAGGAACAGCTGATCAGACTACAGACTATCTTTTCGATATAATTATTTTGGTCAATTGTTTATATATACTGCTGTACTTTTTAAATGTACTCAAGGAATGTATTGTTGTAATGAACACAATATATATTACATTAAAGTTTTCTAGATTTGAAAGTGTGTGTAGATGTGTCATTTTAATTTAATGGTTTAATATACCATTTTAGAATTCTGAAAAATAGCTTTATAACAAACTAATAGTGTGATGCATTTCTAATGAGCTGAAATGCTATAAATGGGGGGGGGGGGGGTTTATCTATAATCTCAATTTTTTTCAGAAAAATGGCAATTATCACCTCAACGTGTGTGACAATTTATAGCATGGTAAAATAAACATGAAAACATGACTTCATTCAAAAACTGGAAAAAAGTGGATGGCATGTCACAGGTCAATATAAAAATCTGAATGAGAGGAAGTTTGTTTATTTATTTGCTTCCTTCATTCCATTTATGCCCAAGGTACACTAAAACTTTATAACGGAAGATGGACACCTGAATAAGTTTGTCCACGGCTTCCCAGGAATTCAAGTGCTAATCATCAGAGATAACATGGACTTGTGGTTTACAGTATTTTTCTGGCACAAGAACAAGTTCATTATCTGAAGCTGTGGGCTCTGTGCCCATTGTACTCTTCTTGACTCGATGTAGGTCAGTGAGACTGTGTTAATGATTGTACAAGGAATATGATCAAGGTGTGTGAGCATGAGCTATTGTAATGGAATGTCTCTATGTGTCTTACAGCATGTGTACTTTGTGAACTCTGGCCTATTTTGGAAAAAACTGCATGTAGACAAAATCTATAGGTCTGCCAGCTTTAGGGTGCATGCACTCCTTCATAAGCCCTTTATTGTACTATTATCAGTTCGATCTGGATATGGAGGAATTGTAGTTGTGATCAGACTTAAACTACTTCAGTCTGTGTGCATTGAATTTATTTAATACATGAGTTTCACAATTTGAGTTGAATTACTGAAATAAATTAACTTTTCCATGACATTCTAATTTATTGAGATGCACCTGTTTTCAATTGTGATTGTTTGACTTTAAACAACAATAGCTGCCTTGCTTTGTCTGTACCTGCAGGTTCACTATCTGATTTTCCTTCACATTCCAGTTCTGGGTTTGACAGTGCATTGTCTATGGTAGCCCACCTTTTATTCCTGAATTACAGTGCATAAGTCCACTTATTCATTTAGGCATCATAACATTATAATATACAGTATGAAAATTGGATATTCATATTGAGCACATATAAATATCCAATACTGACCAATAACTATAAGTTATAAAATCACTAATGTGGTCAGAAAAACGAAATGGCACTGAAATGTCATGCATCCCTAGTCGTCATAAGCATAATCATATTGATTGGAGACACATTAGTCTCTTCTGCTGTGGTCTCAGCTTCCTTGTTACATGCAGTGCAACACATGTGGTGGCTTGTCGTTAAATGTTTGAGGAATGTCATTGCTTAGTTACAGATGGGCATTTTGTAAGACCCGAGTGATATACTTTTACACCTGGAATTTTTCTCTTAATGAATGACATTTTCCTGGCTTGGCATTCCTGTACTGTTGTCACTTTGCAGATGCTCATCTGCCTCTGGAACTGGAGACGTTGTTGTGTCTTCAGCCAGATGTTTGTCTTGTATCCGTGTGTGTTGTAAAGTAAGAGAGTTGCGGTAGCTTATGTAGTTTATGGGTGTTAGAGAATGCCGGGGCAAACCGCCATATGCCTGCCTCGACATAAAAGATGCTTGTTTGTGATCTTGTTTATAATAATTGACATTCTGGAATGTATTTGTTTATTTATTTACTTATTATAACTATAAATAATATATTAAGATATTTTTGATGAAATCCAAGAGCATCATGACCCTGCATAGACAGCAATGTAACTACCACATTCAAGGCCCAGAAAGGTGGTAAGGACATCGTTAAAATAGGACATTTGTGGTTCAACCTTAATGTTATGAAGCAACGAGAATACTTTTTGTGTGCAAAGAAAACAAAAATTAAGACTTTATTCAACAATTTCTTCTCTTCCGTGTCAGTTGACACACGTTCATGAGTGATAAGAAGTCACAGCCAATAAGAGTGCCTGTTATTGTGTGACGTCAGTCAATGATCGCTCACTGAAGAGTAGGGAGCATCAAGTGTTCTGAGGCTGAACAAAGAACGATAATTTTCCATAAGGTGGACATTTATTTCGTGAGTCATTGAAACAATACCACATCTATACAAATGTCCACAACCTGTGCCTAAACAAGAAATGCCCTGTTGTCTGACTGTGCTGTCAATTGCTGTCAATTGCTGTTAATTCTCAATCACTTATTAAAATCTGGAACTGAATCCTGCCTCCGGTGTCCTTACCGACACACCAGTGCGAACACAAACCCACTTGAACTAGTGCACATTCAATTCTAAAGAATCCTTTTCCACATTTGGTCCTTCGAGCCGGATGAGTGTTTACACTGGACTCAAGATGTCAGAACCTCTAGAATATCAAGGTGCACGGCCTAAACGTTAAGTTCGCCCGCCAACATATCTCCAAGATTTCGAAGTTCAGTATCCAGGGAAACCTCAAGTTACTGTACCTTTCACACAGACAGCACAGCAGACACGTGGGCAAGAAGATTACCAGCCAGGTGACATGACAGGTGCTGGTCTGCAAGGTTCCAGAGATTACAGCACAGAAGGGGGAGCCGAAGGGGGAACACATAATTCTTTAGAGGTAACAGGTCCACAAACAGAGCCATGGTACCTTTATCACCCACTTGAACTAGTGCACATTCAGTTCTAAAGAATCCTTTTCCACAATGAGAGTACCACGATGCATGCGTGTAGTGCTGCTGATGCAGTAGCCAGCGTTCTGTCGTAGAACACGCATGTGCTGTGCCTTGCTTGCAAGCAGAGGTTATTTTTGTTTTCTTTGCGCACAAAAGCTATTCTCGTAGCTTCATAAAATTAAGGTTGAACCACAGATGTCACATGGACTATTTTAACGATGTCCTTATACCTTTCTGGGCCTTGAAGGTTCAGTTGCGTTACTGGCATGGTCAGAAAGCTCTCGGATTTCCTCAAAAATATCTTAATTTGTGTTCCGAAGATGAACGAAGGTCATACGTGTTTGGAACGACATGAGGGTGAGTAATTAATGACCAAATTTTAATTTTTTTGGGTGAATTAAACCATTAAGAGGGAGTAATCCACTTCTTACTGATGTTCATCCATTTTTCTATAGGTGTTGCCTATTTATCTCTCTTTCCCTCTATCAGTCTTTTCCACATTTGTTTTGACACTTTGAAGGAGAAAAAGAATGTGTGGAGGCTCAATGACAGACTATGGCAAAACACAGTCAAAACCTATTCTTGCCTACAACTCAAACCCCAAACACACACACTTATGGTCATGTTTTCGCCCTTGCTTGTCAGAACATGAGAAGTCATGAAGAAAAAGTGTTAAATGCATCCTTTGCCTCAGGGAATCTGTGATGGAGGATGCATCGGTGTAAGGTCTCATAAGGCAGAAAACTCTTTGTGGAGAAATGGTGTTTTCTGGTGTGTGTGGCCTGTATAGACTAAATAACACTCTGTTTATGAAAGTTCCTCAGACGCCCATCCTATAATTAGCAACCTGAACTCTCAACAGATTGGCTTTGAAATACCCCCATCTACTGTACTTGGAAAACTAGCAAGATTGTGAACGAAAGGTATTTGAAAAGTTTTTTTATGGGAATCCCCAGCTTACACACTCACAAATATAATAAACCGTACACAAACACCTACGTAGAGGTCAACATTCCCTTGAGAGATGTAATTGTAAATTCCATTGGGTATGCAACCAGAGCTTATGCTAGACCTGTAGAGAAATGTATTTAAAAAAAAGTGTAGTGTTATTTATTGTATACTATGTGTTTTGTTATTTTTTTTACGTTTTATAACTTTTTTTATTATTAAAATTGTATAAACCTATAAGCACTGATTGAGTCCTGGTTTCAGATGTTTAGCGTACAGGTGTAACTACCTACAGTGGGTATGGAAAGTATTCAGACCACCTTCAATTTTTCACTCTTTGTTATATTGCAGCGCAACCAGAGCTTATGCTAGACCTGTAGAGAAATGTATTTAAAAAAAAGTGTAGTGTTATTTATTGTATACTATGTGTTTTGTTATTTTTTTTACGTTTTATAACTTTTTTTATTATTAAAATTGTATAAAACTATAAGCATTGATTGAGTCCTGGTTTCAGATGTTTAGCGTACAGGTGTAACTACCTACAGTATATCATGACTGTTTACCCAGGGAGAGTCGGATGTGTGCGGACACACATTCCAAAGATCAGGACATTTATTCCTTCATTATGTGTAATTTTACAGTACGTGAGTTAAGCAGAAAGCCTTTCAATGCCCTCACACACTGTTTAGCACCTTGACGCAATCAAATGGAATTTATGGTGCTTGTTTTCATTTTTTTTTTTACTGAGAAGTGGCCAGGTTTCCATATTGTTATGAACTTTGTAGGCTTATCTGCACTCTTGTGCAAAGAACAGTGTTATGAGTAACTACCTACAGTATATCATGACTGTTTACCCAGGGAGAGTCGGATGTGTGCGGACACACATTCCAAAGATCAGGACATTTATTCCTTCATTATGTGTAATTTTACAGTACGTGAGTTAAGCAGAAAGCCTTTCAATGCCCTCACACACTGTTTAGCACCTTGACGCAATCAAATGGAATTTATGGTGCTTGTTTTCTTTTTTTTTTTTTTACTGAGAAGTGGCCAGGTTTCCATATTGTTATGAACTTTGTAGGCTTATCTGCACTCTTGTCCAAAGAACAGTGTTATGATTTACTGATTATATGCCTAGTGATATATTAAAGTATCGCCCATCAATAAATGAATGGTTGGATAAGGAGAAATTAAACTTTACCTGCATACATAAAGTACACTCACATAAAGCAATACAGCAAATCTCGGTAGCGTGATTGTTTATATCACTGCAAAATCTAAACTATATGATCTCCCTGCTTGTATCGTCACAAAATGTAAACTATATTATCGACCAGCTCT